TCTCCCACAAAGTCAACGGATCGTGGGGCTTTTGTGCCTGTGCCTAAAGTCAGCACAGCATTTTCTATGATTACGGCGATTCGGAAATTTAAGACACTCTAGTCGGAGTCTGCATTCAATTTGGCGGCGTATTAAGTTTTCAAGCTGCAGCTTGAAACTTGGGAAATAAATTACTCGGCAGTCCGACAGTCTAACTGTCGGGCTCTACACTTTGCACATTTTCCAGAATTATTGCAGTCAATTGACGCGCTCCGCTTGCAAAGACTCCAGACACTCGGATCCGCTGCGATTTGCAGTTCTCCTTCTGTTCATTGGGTTTGCTTTTTTATGCTCCCCCCTGCATTTCCTGCAATTTCTTTTTTATCTTGCAATTGCAAGAAAATATTTTCATTTCTTAAGGGGCTTGCAGCTCGGTCCGCAGATTGGAGGACCAAAGGACCGAAGGACGACTTCAGGTCGATGCGTCACAGTGTCGAGGCTGGGCTTGGCTGGCCGGTACTGGCCCTCCTGTTCTCCGGCAGCCATCACTTGGCCGTAGTTTATTGGCCTGGCAAAAGTTTCGTGCCGTCACTCGAGCCGAAGCAGCCTGGGTGATTCAAGTTTCTGCAGGAGCAACAGCAACAGCATCGCAGCCGGCCATCAGCTCAACTTCAGCTCTAGTTCTACAGCTACAGCTTCAGCTCAGCTCAACCAGCTGGCTGACTTTGAGTGACGGCAGAAGCTGATGCTAATGCCCGGACTGAAGCCAAAGCTAAAGTCGGGGCCAATGGCCCAAGTTAGTCTGGCGCAATAGTTGCGCCATTGATTTAACTTAGGGAAAATTGATTTAATGCCATAATTCAGTGTCCAATGTGCCAACTGACTTTCAATCAATTTGACGCATAATTCCTGATGGATTTAATCGTAATGGATGATGGATTGCCGTCTGAGTGCGAGGCTCTCGAGCGGCAACGCTGCGTATGCGTAACGCAGCAATGAGAAAAACACTTTTAGCACGTCGTTTGTCGGCCCTAATACCTTGTAATTTATATTCGCTTAGCTTTATCGAACGCTGAACGCCGTGTTACCTGTGCCAGCTGATACAGACTTTTCATTAAGTTGCATCACATGAATCAATGTCCCGGGAATGGAGAATACTGATTAAAAAAAAGAGGAGCAAATCCAAAGCAGCGGTGGAAATCCCGCTGATATCCTGCTGTGGTCTACATCAAAGCCTTGGCTCCGGTCCGAGTATTTTTAATTTTAATCAAATGCATGACACATAACACCCCCACCCCCCTGAAGTGTCTGGCTGCCTTTTATTTAACTTGGCCATTTCAATTGCCGAGCAATTCCTTAATGGCTTGCTTTCGACCGGCTCCCTCCTTTCCACTTTCTGCTGTCCTTAGATGTAAATAAAAATGCATTGCACTGCCATTTCCTGTGAAAGCCAAAAGCATTTGATGTAACTCATTTCAGCTTATGCAGCGGCCACGTGACGACGACATTTTCACTCACCGCTTTTCGCCCCTTCTCATTTGTAGCGCTATTTGTATTTGTATTTGCATTTGCATTTGCATTTGTGTTTGTGGATGGGTTTCCTTTTATAAAAGGTATTTGCAGGGTACACGGGTATATTGTATTTGTGCAAATATGTGTGGCAGTATGAGGATTGCCACGTTGAATATTTTAGTTTTTCATTTGAAACTGGGGAAAACTCTAAGCTCAACCATATTTGTCCACATCATTGCGAAGCTAGAAAATATGAATATATTATTGTTCATTTTGGCAAAGCTATAGGGAATTAAAACGGTTAAGCAAGTCAGCGTTTTATTTAGAAGGGAAATCAAATGCTGTTTAAAATTTGAATCGACAAACAAAATTCAGCATAAAAAATAAAATAAAATAAAAAATAAATATGTGCTTTTTGTATGTCATTTTAAAAATGTATACAACTAGCTATTGCGATTGGGGTAACTTCCAGTCGAATCCATCGAGTGCAGCATTCTGTCTTTTTTATAATGTTAAGCTTCTGTCGTTTTTTGTTGCCCTGCCACGGTTTTTATATGTTTTTCTTCACCAAAGCTGTGTGAAATCAATGGAAGCTGTTTCATTCAGCCGTCGCCTGCCTTTCTCGTCATGGTCTTGTCCTGGTGGAGAACTGCCCCTCGACTGGCCGCCCTTGTCTGTGATTGCGCAAAGTGCGGTGTTGTCCTGCGAAAGCGTTTTATTTAAATATAGTATGCACGTGTGTACGCAAATATATATATATGCATATATATAGTGTGTTGAGAATGTGTGTGCGAGTGTGGTGTCAGGTAAACCGTAACGTTTTAAATCTGCTTGTCCGACACTCGGCTTCCGCCCTTCCGCATTTCCTCCCAGCCAGCACTTCCCAGCCAGCGGCCCCGTATTTGTGTCAGTGCCGTGTAGATCGCTTACAGTTGGCATAAAAAGGGATGCCAACAAAAACAGGCAGCACGACATGTTAAAAACTGTTTTATGCACTGCCAGAACGAGCTGGAATAAAATAAATATGCTGGCTGGCTGGCTGGCAGTCTGCCTCAACGGGTGTGGTCTTTTCGTTTCGTCCTGGAAAACGCAAAAGTGCCCACGCTTCAATGCGTGTATCTGTCGCACCGGCCGCTGCCCCCAAAATGCTTTTAAAAATGATTTTTACAAGCCGCACAAACACATGTACTAAAGTTATACGATAAAGCAATCGCAGAGAAAACAACCAAAAACATTGTAAACTACACAGAGAAAGGCAAACTGTTTTTTGCCTGAATAGTCAAGTAAGCTAAGCCGACCTGAACTGTACTGAACTGCCGATTTGCAATTTTCGGCTTTGGGGCCAAAGGGTTTTTCGGCTAAATGAATGTTGCCCCACCGTCGCCTCCAGTTGATGGTGATTGATTTTTTTTGATTGATCGCCTGATTGATTTAACGCGTTGATTTTGGCCGATCTCTCTCAGCAATGATGGGGTTTGCATTGCGCCTGGTCCGTTTCGTTAAACTAATAAAAAACTATGCAGCAAAACAGCAAAGCAAACGAAAGGGGGAAAACCTTCGAAGCGGCTTAATTGAAAAGCGGCTCGGCCTAAAAACTGAGCAGGCACTGGGGAAGAGTTTTAGCCCACCTTGGGGGAAATCTTGCAATTACGCTAAAAGCAATTCCCGACGAAACTCCAAAGAGTTAGCCGGGAGTGAACCCTTAGCATTTGGCTTTCACCGACACAGACATCGACACAGACACAGACACAGACTAGCAGAGGCACATTTGCCACCTCTAAGGCAGGCCCACAAATTTTTATTTAAAGCACTTTACCACGGGATCGTGTTGGCCTCGCTTTTTCCCCACTCTCCTCTCGGTTTTTTTTCTATCTCTGTGTGAGTCGTACAATCAACTTAAACTAAGATTACAAGCGCCGCCCGCTAAGCTGTGGAAAAATGTGTGCCAGCGACCAGCGAAATGGAGGTGGAGTCCTGAGTCCTTGCTGTGGCGGTGCGGGAAATCCGCAAAACCACTCACCGACAGTCAGACAAACAGACAGACGACTCCCGCATCCGCAGCCCCTCAAGGCATACGCATGCTATTTGTATTTAAAATGGAATTTACCTGGGGTTTTGTCACTTCTTTTAGCAGGGCTTTTAATTTGATTTAATGCGTCTACGCGTGCCGCGTCCTGGAAACTCCTTTTTGTTGGCTGGAGACAAGGACCTGTTTGTGGCCCCCAGGTAAATGTTGTTCTCGTAGTTGGCCATTTGTGCGAATTAAGTTTTTGGCGGCACAGCGAAACTAAACGATTCCCCTGAAACCCAGAATCCAGCATAATGCCCAAGTGAATTGGCCAAGTGAAAACTTGTGCGGCAGAAAACTATGTACAAACTCAATTGCAAATGTATGCCATCATGATATGCCGGCACTGTTGTTGTTTTGGGAAAAATGCAAATTAATTTTCCGCAGGCTTTTTGCTGTGGTACCCATTAAATATGAGCGCTCTGCATCTTCGTGGCACTTGCCTTGGCCTCCATTTTCGGTTTATGTAAATCCTGCCAAACTGCCGCTTCCTCTCCAGACATTTTGAGAAACCGACCTTTTCGCTGCACATCAAAGACAGCCTTAGAGTATTTTCGCCAGCGGCTAGACTTTGAACTTGCTGCTCTGAAATGGTGGCTTATGGGTCTGGGTCTGGGTGTGGAGTCCTTGCTCTTGGCTCTCGGCTCAACCGCAATTAAAACAGATTTCTTGTTTACGATGTCCTTGGCGAATTTGTAAATCAATTCTATGCGTATTTTAAGCAATTAATTTTCCTGAATTTTAATTGACTTTGCCATCTGCCCCTTACTCCCTTTGGCCTTTCTGCCTGTTTGTTTGTTTGTTTATATACTTGTTTTCCCTTAACTTTCTCTAGATAGTCCACAAAATTGGTAGTTGTTGTGGTTATCAATATGTTTCCTTTGCGGATGGTCTAAATTGATTTTGGAGCTAAGCGCAGTGCATGTGTACTTAGATCATTTATGTCTAATCCCCCTTCAACTTGTCAGCTTTCCGAATTTCTGCTTACAAAGGTGACCACAGCACAGAAATAGCCTGCAAGGGAATTCTTTATCTGCAGTAATGGAAAAAGTTAATTGAAATTAATAAAACTAAATGCACACAAAGTGCAATTTATAATGCTTTTTAGCTGCAGGTGAACTATTATGGCAAAGCAAATATTTTGGTTTTCAATTCTCTAATTTATTCTATTCTACTATTTTGTGCAATAATTTCATTCTGCATGTTAATTTTTTGTCAATTTGTCAACAATGTTCAGTTGTCTTACAAAAGCAACTACCAAAAAAGATAAAACAGCCACCTAATTAAAAAAAATAAATTTACTTTCAGTATTGTGCAGCACTTTAATAATATATATATTTGTTTGTTTATTCGCATTATGACAGAGAACAAAAGCAGTTGGTTAATTATGACATTTTTTTTCTAAATACAATGTCTAAGAGTACAAATTGCACAGGATTTTTCATTGTATTTTATTTTTATTTGTGGTCAATCTGTCAGCTATATTAAATTGGCTCACTAAAGTAAAAACGGAAAATGCCAATTTAGCCATCTGAAAATATAAAATATTAGTACATTTTCAAAAAAAAGTCATGTAAATTTGAAGTCTACCTTAACGTTTGTGCTCGTGGAAATGGGAAAAACTGAGCCAGCTGTAAAAATAACATACTTTTGGGAGTTAAACAAAAAAAAGATCAATGAGGTCTTGTATCTTCGACTTGTGTTAAGCCAGTTCGAATGAAATATAGCAATCTGCAGAAGTTCACAATCCGATTTAATCAGGTCGCAAAGGAAGCAGAACGGGAATGTCTGCATCATCAGACCGTTTATATAGGCCACTGTGGCCAAACCTGTCCACAAATCGGCGAAATAGAATAGATTTATCATGGAGAATCCTAGAGGAAGGCCGATCAGAAGAAACTGGACTAAGATAGTGCGAGCGATGACAGGATGAATCATTTGAGCGCATCTGAAATATTGATGTTAATATTAACTAATCATTTCTCTTCAACGTAATCGTTACTCGTGAATAAGTTTGTGATCCTTGATGCTGCTGATCAAATCCTCCATATTTTCGTTTTCGCTCTTGTCGGGATCTGTGCACAGTTTCTCGACCCTCATTCGCAGTAGTCTGATGTGAACTCTCAGCATAAGTCCGTACAGCACGGGGTAAATATCGGTTAATAGCGTTTGCGACACAGAAAACAGCATAAGTAAGGTCTCATGTGTGGCAGCCATCCAGAAACTCGTTGCTGAATGCCGAAAGTCAATAAATGGGACATAGATGCGCCAGGGCAGCACTCCCGAGAAAGCAGCCGAGAGGAAAGTGGACAAGGTATATCCGATATACATACAGATATAGATGAGGTAGGCCTTGTTGCAATTGACCACCCATTTATGAACCTCAAGGCGCTCCACAATTGCAGTGCAGCGATTGTCCATTTGAATAAGCAGATTTTTGGCCTCGCGAAATCGCCACAGGTGCACCCGCAAAATTAGTATTTTTAAAGGCGTACCGACGGAGTTAAAAAATAGTTGCAGAACAGTAAGCAATTCACTGGGATTATAGTTTTTGATATCTATAACAAAACTGATTATGATTCCGATCGGCAGGTAGTAAACACACCAGGAAATAAGGAAAAATGCCATCATGCTGTACACAAACTGGTACTTTGGTGGAGCCATCCAACCCAGCACCGACATACCATACTCAAAATACTGAAAAGCCTCGCCTGAAGTCAAGAGATCCGTTGGAGTTGGCTTTCGCAAATATTTAAAAAACATTTCGCTTCCTTGCGGTCTTCAAGTTTGACCTAAACTGATGTGGCAATTGCCAAAGACTCTGTATTTATCTTAGCCAATGGGTCAGTTGTTTCGTTCGTTTCCTTAAAAATGCAAATTTAATGCTTTTAGTTCCCACGCTGTCTACGCACAAGAATCAAGACTTTTAAATAGTTCCCACGCTTACTACGTAAAATAATCAATTATCGTATAACAGTTGGTTATTGAACTTTTATTTCTGCTGTGAATACAAGAAATGATGTTATTTGTTGAATTTCTGATATTGTAATCACCTGCAATGCGTTTCTCAGCTTGAATTTCAAATTTGTTTTGCTTTCCACACTATTTCTCCCCAGGGCCGTATCATTAAGTAGGCAACAGTTTTACCCACAATCGACCATTCGGTTTTGGCCATACAGATGTAAATGTCTTTGAGGCATGATTAATGCATGGATGTGTCTGTACTTTTAGCATATACATTGCGTAGCCGACATGTAGGCCACCGTTTCACTTCCCAGCCATTGTCTGACTTGCGTTGTCGGCAGACGCGTGTGTTCGAGTTAATTTATAGACTTATCAACACTTAATCACCGGAAAAATGGCATGGCGCATGTGTAAAACGCACAGAGTGCCACGCATGTTGATTACGGCCGATGTCTTTGGCCATATAGTATATTTCACCCGGAGATGAAGTCAGAGACAGAGACAGAGACAGAGACCCACAACCCACAGGCTTAATAGTTGTTAGTTAGTTGTGCGTGCGATGGCTCAGCGGCCCGGACTGTTGCGCTGCGTAACACATTTGCCGTAATTTATGCTTTATAGCCTGGCCAGATATGAAAAGTCTTCTCGCACACACACGCATCACTACAGCATAATATCTGGGGCTATATTTTTCCAGCCGCTGTTCAACATGTTGTCTTTTATGCCATTTTCTGCGGTTGCCAAGTCAACTGTGTTCAGACTCTGGCCCTGATATTTAGGCGTGCGTATAAATAACAGGGTCTCCGACTTTTTCGCATACTGTAACTCTTGCTGCGACTGTAACTGGGAACCGGGGCTTATGTTATTAGATTTACTGCGTTGCTGATGCTGATGATGCGACGGCCATAAAATGGCTGACATTCAAATAAACCGCAAAGAGTTGACTGCATAATTAAAGCGGCACACAATGACCTTCAATCATGCCTGGGCTGGCTGGGCCAAAAAGTTCATTAGACCGTCTTCTCCGGCCATCCTATAAGCTGGCAATTGGCCAGGACAATTGTTAACCATTTCAGCGGCTTGGATGCACCACGTTTGCTGATTCCAAACACAATCTGCCTCTGGGCCTAATGATTGCGGCAACGTGACGCATCACTGTTTCGTTTATTTTTTTCCTGATCTGAGCCTTATTGTTGGCCATTTGGGACAAACGCGCCATATGTGTGCGATGGCTGGCCAAGTGAAAGGCGCCGCCTGATGAACTAGTGTTCCTGGATCCTAAATTGATTTGCTTAAAAGCGTGTGTGTCTACGTGCCCAGCTTTTCCTACACTATTGATTCGACTAGCGGGTACCTTATTACATTTTTCATTCCTAAACGTGTGCTAATTGCTTTTACGCAGCAACCTCGTAACCAAAGTCCACTCATCCGAAAGAGCACGGTTATGGGGCTCGGTTTAGCTTGCCAGCCAGAGCCATTAAAAATTGATTTATTTTTAATTATCAGTGACGTGCGGCGCAATAATAAATAAACGTGAAAATTTATTGCAACGTCAAAAGCGACGGCCGGCAACCGGCGACCTCAAAAATGGCGGGTGTGTGTTTTTGTGTGTGTGTGGGGCAATGTGTGTATTGTATAGTATGGATCCGCATACATGCTGTATGCTTTTTGCAAAATATTTAGAATGCTAGACCGAAATTGTGGGTGAATGTGAGTGCAGGCCGAGGGGTGTGCGGAAATTGGGTGTTGAGCCCAGTAAAACTAGGCAAATCGAGTTGTTGGCATATTTTACAAACACTTTGCTAATGTTGGCGCTTGTCTAACATATTTTTAGTTGCCTCTGACGATGATGTTGCCTGGTGTTCGCTGCCGATGGTTTTTGCTTTTGCTTTAGTTCCTATTATTATTAATATTATTGCAGCTGTCGCTCATGCCCAAAATGTGAACAAAAATGCTGCAAAAATTCTATTATCATATCCATAGTTGGGCCAGCCGTTTGACAACCGATGGGCCAACAACATTGTCACCAGAAATATTTTACTAATTTATTAACTCGGGCGATGCCCCAGTTGGACGAACGGAAAATGAGGCAAATATTTGTCAGACTGCTGGAAGCGCTAATGTGAACCACCACCGCGTGAATGTGACCTGTTTGTAAGTGAATTTTTGCAAATTTGAGATTTCTAATGCCGTTTTCCACCGCGTCCATCAGTGGCTCGTTTGCCCATTTGCAGACACAGTTGAGGACCGCACCCATTGTGGTTGCCCCTTTTTGTGGCCTGGCGCGTTTAATGAATTTTTCATGTCATCAATGTTGAACCTTCGACCATTGACCATTGCCCCGTCTCAATTATTCACCACCCATCGCATTTCGACCCCCAATTCAACTGTACTTACCGCATGCCCATTCAAATCAATTTTTGATTTGGTAGATATACATCTTTTATTCATACGGTTAAGGAAAGTTTGGTTTTTGTTTGCGAAAAATTGTAAATTTATTTCCACCAACGAGATGGCCAGGATGTTTTCATATATCACATGGCTTTGTGGGAGGCAGGGTATGATGGGTGAACAATTTTAAATGGAAATGTGTAATTCATTTTTATTTTCATGAAATATTAGTTGAAGTTGAATTTCATGAAATTATTTTAAATTTTATTACAATTACATTTTATGTGTATTAACATTTATAAACTTTTTCTCTTTATAAAATTCCAGTGAGGAAGATTCGTGAAATTATAAATGTTGTTTGTAATCACTAGATCAGGTTTTTTTATTTTATAATTATAATTCTACAGTTGTATAGAAATTTGAGCGCAAATCTATTTGAAACCCAGCTGGTAATGCGTGGTCGAGATTTTTAGTTGAAATGCATTTCTTCGCTATTTATTCGAGTCCCTTTCGCTGTCACTATCAGCAGTAAATATCGCTCGCTGATGAGAGCCGCACAACGCGGCAATATATTTTATTCACATGCCAGTTTTTGCTGCTATGCGGTAATTGATACGCTAAACTGCATAACGCAGATTATGACGTTGGAAACACTAAAATGAATTATTGCACTGAATGCCAGTCAATGAATGGAAACGGGCGGAAAGGACGTGAAAATAAAATGCACAGCACAACAAAGGAAACATTTAAATATTCCGCAGAAGAAAAAATGGCCACTATGATTATTATTGTTGTTATAATTATTATTGTATTTCACATTAAATTTGCATGCTATCATGTAGTTATGCGTTCGTTGCAATTTAATTATTCACATTATCTACTAATATTTATTTAATTCTATTTATTTTATGCTCTTTTTGTTGGCGCTGTGGAATTTAATATTTTAACTGGCATATGTACGATATTCCGATGTGTGTGTCTGTGTGTTTTTGTGCGTGGTGTAAAAAGTTTAAAAAGCAATTTAAAAATAAAATTTATGAATTGTGTGCACATAAAATGCAAAAGCCAAGCGTAGAAATGGCAATTGCTCCTTTGGCCAGAAGGTAATTAGAATTCATGACACGCTTATGAAATATCACACATACGCAGTGTGGCAAAGACGCTGGTTTACACCCTCCCCTCTTCACCCTATTCCTTTTCTTCTACTGCGTCTTCTCTTGCTCCATTTTGATTTACGGTTTTCAAATACACACGCACAGTACGAGCGGCAATGCAAAGTAATTTATGACAATGCCTTGGCCACAAAAACTGCGAATTGCAATCAAAGCCAAAAATGGCTAAGGCCAGGCCAGAAGCTCATATAAATGTCAGGCGGCTAACGATGGATGCGAATCGGCCGGGAGCTGCTCTGCAGATGCATTAGTCGGCCAGTATTGGATTGTGCCTTATATCTATGGTAGCACCATTTCATCTTTGAGTCTGCTTTCAGGCAACACAAAGCTCGACTCCAATGAGGCAAGTCTGCCTGTAGTTGCACTTCCCCTTCAACTTTTGCATTTAAAATGGGTTCACTATGTAGGTTGCTCCGTGTTTGTTAATGGCGTGAAGTCAGCGGCGCGTAAATAATAATAAACAAACAAAAAATACAACAACGCAAAACGTAGAAACATCATGAGGCATCTTAATAAATTACTTCGGGGATTTTGGTGAACAATTTTTAATATTGCCAGGCCGTGGCCCAGACAGCCATTCCCATTCACATTCACACACCCCCGCGAACAGCGTGGGGTTAAAGTGCTGGGAGTACGGGGAGGTGTTTGCCCGACAGTTGCTTGACATTTCGAGTTTAATGAAATTTATGCAATTTTTCTTATTTGCCAAATGCACTGCGGCATTCGCAGCTCGCCCGCGGCGTCAGGAACACGCCAAAGTGCAATGCATCAAGCGGGTGGCTTTTCCGCGTAAAATGGGCGTTGAGCTGCTTAGATATACATAGACAGACCTGACAGCTACTCGGGTGTATGGCACTGTAGAAAAGGGCTTGTGAATTCCAGGAAATAGATTTTTGTTTGTGTGGGAATAGGGAAGCCAGCTCTGTCTTCTTGCCAAACAAAAAACCGAATTACTTATCAAAACGTTAAGATATACAAAAAAAGGTTTATAACATTAATAAAAAAAAAAATATAAATATATATACGACAATCAATCCATTGTAATTAATTAAATCTCAAACAAAATTGTTCAGCTCAAACTCTTTTTTGTTTAAATGCTTATCAATTACAAAAGTTTTTAAATCAATATCAGAGTCTTATTAAAAAAAGCCAAAACCTTGACCACAAAAAAATTCTTTAAGTGCATGAGCTGTGCATGTGTGACTCATCATTAGCAGAAGTAGGGGTAAACTATTT